TGAATGACCAGAGTGGCTTTCAGATTATATGTTAAATGTCAGGAATTTTAGAATCACACAAGCCACACCAGAGGAGATGGGCAGACCAGATGGGGCTGAAATGTGATAATTCTGCATGTTGAATACTAAGTGTCATGAAACACAATCCCTCTTGTCTGCACCCCTGAGACCCTGAGACTTGGACACTCTCCTCTTATACTAACTAAAAAAAAAAAAAGAAAGAAAGAAAGAAAAGTTTTTTTTCCCCTGAAACACAGCAACCTTTGTTAAGGTATTCTGCAAATATTATAAAGAAGAGATCATTTTAGGGCAGACTTTCCCACCTGATTTACTTGGAGGAATGTATAGTGATGTCTGGTCATTATGTGTAGAGAGAGAGAAAAAAAAAGAGGAATCATGGAATTCTAAAATTCAAGTCAGTACTAATAACTTTAAAAAGTATTGATTATGAAACTCAAGTATGATGCTAGAAACAAGGACAAAACTATTCTCAAAGCAGCTTAAAGACTTTAGTAATATTCTCACTATGTGAAGAAGAAAAGATTACTAAGACTTCCCTTCAAATGAAAGGAGAATATCAATTTCTCATACAAAGTGAATTAGTATGATTGGTTTCATGAACACGTAGTGGTAAAGAATCCTGGAATTTTCCCTGTTGTCCCTTGGGTAACTCAAAAGTACATTTTACAGTCTAAAGCTAGAGAGAAAATAATCTTAAGAAAAAGCCCATATAGTGAGCTTAATCAATCTGAAGTGGACAGTGGAATGAATATCATAAATCTTTGGTCTGTCTTCTTCCTAAAAACATGTCCTCCTGATTGGATTTCCAAGGTCAGGTGGGGAAGGACTCTTGGAGGGCATGGTACGGTAATGTTGCCTGAATATTCTGGAAGGCTGGTGACCTTCAAGTAATTAGAATGTCTCCGACAAATGATACAGATTTCCAAACAATTGCTGCTTATAACTTCCATTTTGCCAGCCTTATATTAACGTCAATGTTTAAACATGAAATTTAGATTCCCCTTTATCTTTGAGTGTAACTTAATAAATTTGAGGAGGAGGTTTTTGTTTCATTTTGTCATTTCCTCTCATCAACATCAACCTTCTGAAAGGATGAGGACAGTAACAAAACACTTCTTCAACTTCCCTTTATTCCTCTCACCTCATTCTTCCTCTATTGTGAGAATAAAGAAAGGAAAAAATGATGTAAGTACCTGTTGTTTTTTGCTCTCTGAGAATTCTGGAAATTTAATTGAAACTAAAGTATGATTTAGACCTGACTTGTTCAGAACTCTGATTAATGCTTTTCTATTTCAATAAATGATTGCTTTAATTTTTCATGAGAACTTTAAACAGATTTAAAAAGTTTAGACCACATCAAATCCCTTTTAAATTTATTTGTCATTGAGGATTAAGGTTAATTCTATTCATGTTTTCAATCACCACCCTTCTCTTAAGATAATGTTTTTTCTCCCTTTGCTGATTACTACCTCCTCCTCCTGCTTTCTGTGAGAATATCTTATCGTTCATTTTTTTTTATGTACTCTGACGTCTTTTATTGTGAGATTCTATCAATTTTCATCTTTTCAACTATATAAACTATACAAATTAACTGAAAGTTCCACTTTCAATTTTCTCCTCTTCTGTGAGTTCGCGGCCCATAGTTCCAGTTACTTACTGTGCATATCCCTTTGATATCGCCACCATTTAAACTCTACCAACTCTCCTTCTCATCTGTTATTTTGTTAGTCATTCTGTTATCCTACTTTTCTAAATATAAAACTGTGTAATTGTTTCAGCTCATTGCTCTTTTTCATTCACTATAGCTATCACCACATTTCTGAATTTTTTCATTTAAAAAATTTTTTAATATTCACCTGTATTAAGACCTTGGTTGGGCGGTTATAACAAAATACAAAAATAACAGTGGATAAAACACAATGTAGTTTAGTTCTGTCTTATGTATAGCCGAGGTAGATGGTCCAGAGGTGGTATAATGGCTTGACTAAGTTATGCGTGCAGGCTCATTCCATTTTGTTGCTTTGTCCTCCCAAGGTATTGTCCTTGTCCCCTGAGGAATGATGGCTCACCACCATAGCTTCAGCCCAGTCTTCAGAAAGAAGAAAAAAGGAGGGAGAAACCACACCCCTCTCTCTTTAAGAGTACAACCTAAAAAGAGAATACATCACTTCTGCATATAGCTCATGTTTAAATGACAAAATCCACTTGTATGGCCATATCTAGCAGCATGGGAGGCTTGGTAATATGGTCCTTAGCTATGTACCCAGCTAAACTTTCTATTTTTAGAGAAGAAGAGAAGCACTATTGGGAGCCAAGCAGCAGTTTCTGCCATACCTTCCTTTCTCTAATTTTATTGTCTTTGCCCTTTGGTCAGCCTTTACTGCCCAATGCCAAGATTATTTCTGGAGACTTATAGCTGGATTTACTGTTTTATTTGCTCACTATCGATGCATCCATTCTTTCTTTTAAAGAGCTACTTTTTTTTTGTTTTCTGTTTTCCTCTTTTTAAACCTCTGCTCAGTAGTTCATAGCATAAAGTCTCTGCTTCAAATCTCTTTACAATCTATTCCTTTTCTACCTTTTCCAGTCTTTTTTAAACTTTTGTTTATTCATTAATTTATTTACTTATCCAGTAAATATGTGCTGAGTACATACTATATGCATAAAGGAGAAGGCAAAGAATCATTTGTTTTCCTAAGTTAGTTTATGTGAGTTCTGTGGACAGATAGAAAACATCCTCAGGAATGTCCATGCTCTCTATTGTCACATTGATTCATCTTTTGATAGTGGTTTTCACCACTTTAATGCTTGAGAGGTTAAATGCATCTTAAGAAAGCTTTTTAAAACTAGGTCGTGCAGGTAAAGTGGTTAATTTGATTTTAGGAGTCAGATGATGTTCACCTGACATTTTGAACTTTCAGGTTTTTGCACATTTTAGAACTATGATTTGCCTTTAAAAACAAAACAAATGTGGAAAAGAATGCTTATTGAAGTAACTATAACTAGATTTAGTAGCTCACTGAAATTGTAACACAGCTTAAATACAAACAAATGGGCTAAGTATTACCTCGTGTGTTATAGTTCTCTAGTTGCTTATTTGTTTCCAAACAGCATAACCTCATTTTCAGTCCTATAGACTGAGGTGTAAAGATCTATGTCTAAAGATCACGCACCTTGACTGGACTTTGTTCTCCAAACTACATTTTTTTTTTCCTCCTTCCACAATCCTAGGTATTATAGAGGCAGGCATTTACATAACACAACTAATCTAATATCATTTTTATATTTGTACTTCATTCTTTCAGAGAAGTCACTAGACTAGGTTTAGCATTACAGTGAGGTACAAGGGGCTGAGTTGTACAAGTGCAGGTTCAAATCTTTATTTAAAATTTGGTTATTTTGTTTATCATGGATTTTTTACACTAATTCAAATTCATAAAAATGTTACATTAAAATATTATTTACCCTGATTTCTGAGGTTTTGGTTACCTCCTGAAATCTTATGTTTGAGATGCACTGGATCCTTCTCCTTTATGCAAAATATTTGCGTATCAACATGGCTGACTGCTTGAATCATTAAAAATTTCAAGTTGGAAAATATATATTTTGAAGAGAAAATAAGTATTCATTATTTTACCAAAACCTAGAAGCAAACATTACCTTAAATCCTATCAGACCATAGTTTAAGTATTTACATTTACAACTGAGATCAGATTGGGATATGCGGGGAAGCCAGTCTATGAAAACAAGACAGGGGTATCCAAAGGGAAGATAGACAAGCACCCGGGATGAATAATTTCGCTACTTTATTACATTGTCTTGACATGGCTTGTTCCATCTCCAGCCTGGGAGCCTCATTGCCAAAATGGCAATGTGAGCATGTAGTTTTCAAAATATATCCCTAGAGGAGGAGAAGAGGAGGAAGAGAGAGTAGGTAGAGCCTCAGACTTGAAGCCACATTATGTAGAGCAACTCTGCTTGTATACATCTTTTGTATTGGCCATCTGCTAAAGAGTTTATTTGGGGGAAAAATAATTTCTTTGCTTAAAAAAAAGTTTAGAAATCACTAGACTAGATGATTTTCAAGATCTCTATAATTCTCAACTCTGAGTGTGCACATGTTTCTAATACAATGGATTTCTGATGATTTACCCACACCTTGATCTGCTCTCCTTGCAAGTCTTGAACCACCCTTTTGTGAGACCAGTGATGTTTTTGCCTTGGATATCTCTTAGTTGTCATATATATTACTGGCTTTTCTCTAGATTTAATTGTAGTTCCGTGAGAGAGATGGGAGAGAGAGAATTACACCTTGTATAATAGCAACATTTTGTAAATTCTGCATCCTATATTGAAGTTCAGGAAGAACATAGTAGAACCCCTGGATATGTTTATTTTACTTTAAATTTCTGTTAGTGTATTTAACATATATGATAATTATAATAATAAATTATATTAGTATAGTGATACTTATAATTTATAAAAATAAACATTCATGAATAGGAGATGTGTACTCAAAACAATTTTTTTTTTTTTTTTTTGGTTAGGGATGTGTGACTGTTCTTTAAAGCTTTTTAGAAATTACTTCTCTTTTGTTAGTAAACTTTCTGATAACTGATAATTTAACCGATAACTGATAATCTTTAGCATATCTGAGTTTAGCATATTCTCTATAAATCCTAATTTTGATGTGTGTGAGTAATCAAAAATATGTATGGAATATTATTTTCAAAAATAAGTATATTGGGATATAACATAAGCTGCAAAAAAATGGATAGGGAAAATAACTATGTTGCTTGTCTTCTATTTCTTTTTTGCTTTTTGTTTCTCTTGTAATGAGAAGAGATAGGTGGCAATTCATAAAATAATTATGGAAGAGATACACAAATTAAAGGGATTTTTTTAATGTGCATTTTAAAAACACAATTAACAATGTTAAGTTTTGTCTAACTGACTTTAAACTGGACTCCTCTTTTCAGTTTCTACTAGATCTTTACCAAGACCTGTATGCAAGTGTTTGAAAAACTTAGAACTACAAAGGTATGTTTTCTTAAGCTTGTATTTTAGAGGTGCATATTTTCAATATATTACATAAATTCTGAAGTTTAGAAAATTTTATTTTTACTATTTTCCCTATGATCTTTTTTTTCTCATTTATTTTTCTTTTCCTCTTCTCAGTTCCTTATACTCAGCCTGAACAAATAGATACAGAGTGAGAGGAACAATGAAAACCATATGTGAAACTGCATATAGGAATAAGGTTAAAAATGTCTGCTTTTGATTTTAAATTCTTCCAGGATGATAAAGTATACATTCAGGCAGCTCTGAGTCTGAAAAGCACCTCATACACCTTGACATTCAAACAGATATTTATCATATTCTTTCTACCATGTGCAAAACATTGTGCAAGATGAATGAGTCACAGCCCACGCCCTCAAAAACTTATGTGAGGTGGAGGCAAGAAGGCAGGCACTAATCGGAAATTAATAATATATGTGATAAGTTCAACAACAGAGACATACCCGAGTGTTTTAGAGCCCAGCGGAGGGAACCTACCTAGCCTGTGGGGGCAAAGAAGGCTTCTGGGAAAGGTGTACTCAAGTTAACCTTGAAGATGAACGAATGTTCATTGAGGAATGGGGAGAGAAATGAAGGCAATAAACCTCAGCCACGGAGACAATATAAACAAGACACAATATAAACATTGGCTAGGTGTGCCTGCAGGACTTTAAGATTAGTGCAAGTCACAGGTGCAGCAGGGGTGAAAATGAAGGGGAGGTATAGACTGGGGCCAACTCCTAGAGTGTCCCACGATGCACTCTGTGAAAGGGGCTTGGACTTGATTGTATAGGTGATAGGGGAGGCTGTGAAGGATTAATCATAGAATGATTATGAGTAGATTTACTTCATAACAATCCACCTGTAATCTGTATAAAGAGTGGGTTTATAGGAAGCGAGAATAAGTACAAAAAAAATCATTTAGGACATTGTTGCAATAGTTCAGGAAGAGTGAATGGCAGGCTGACTAGGGCAGTGTGAGTGTGGCGGAGGGAATTTTTTGCAAAGTGTACTATTTCTCTGAGTGACTAATATGAAACTGATGGTATTCAAACTCCCAGTATTTTTCACCCTTGTTGTGTCAGGTGCTAAGTCCTAGGACACAGGGCCCATCCCATGAACAGGAATTTTATGTGCGTAGTTTATCTTGGTTTCTAGGAACAAGATGGTGTGGGTGCTGGGAATATTGGTAGCTGTTACGAAAGATGCAAAAGATGCAAAAATTCTCTACAGTCGTATTCCAAAGGTGTGATATGTTTCTATAACCTCTCAAAGGTGTAGTCATGCCAAGTGTTTTCTTACAGTCATTTTTCTGTGGCTACAAATATTTGCTGTAATGCTTAGTCATAATTTAGGAGATGACTTTCTCAACTTGACATTAATCCCTGAAAGCATTTATGATGTAATTATCCACTGCATTTTATAATTGGTACTCCTAGGCAATAACACCTGTTGTTTGAAATGAGGTCCTTTTGACTTTAATTCAATATTTTATTATAGAATTGGAGGTTCTACTTTTCCCAAGAAAGTCAGGCAAGTCATGGTGTTTACTAGTTTAAACTCAATAATAAAAAAAAGACAAAATGATTAAAGTTTGATAGCCTAACTAGATTTTTACCTTTTCTGATTCTTCATATATATATATTTTTTTAATTTACAGGAAAGAAAATTTATCAGTTTCTTCCTAAACCTCTCTTAGAAATAACAACGTATTTTAATTAGAGATTTGTAAGTATCCTTTTCTTCTTCATTTAGGAAGTTACATATTGATTTTGTGGAAAAAATGACTCCTTTAGTAAAACACTTGACAGGATATAGCTAAGCTATACAATTGCTTATATTGAGTTGGCATGCAAAATTTGAATAAGAGTAAAAACACGAAAATCACCCCTCAAAAAGCAAAACAAAGAAACCAAACCTCAATCAGGAAAGCTTCCTACATCTCTCTAGTGAAGGTTTGATTTATTTTTTGGCAATTTCTTTTCTTGATGTCATTTTCATTACTTATTCCTCTTTGTGAAAATATCTGTGTGTTCACATATTTTAGGAAGTCTGTAAGATCAATAGGAAGGAAGAGGAAAAGGGTAGGGTGTGAACACAAGAAAAGGAAGAATTCGTATTCAGTTAAATGTTAAATGGCTTTGGACAACTTTGTATTTTCCATTAATACTTTTAGCAAATTTTTTAAATGTTAAAGCTAGGTCCATTCAGTTTTCTCATATATATGAAATGCTTATTATTGTGCTAACCCCCCAAATGGTCAACTCAGTAATGGGTAATCTAGGAGACCCTTCCTATTTCAATTTAACAAGAGATCAAGACAAGCATATCTTTTCACAAACAGAAATTTTATTAGATGAATTGAGAAGAACCAGTGCGGGAGAGACATTTGTCCTAAAAATGTATCTGTAGTAATATCATTTTATATTTTATCCCTTGAAAGACACTTCAAGTCTAAGGTAGTTCTATACTAGCACTAAAGCAAAGAGCCAGCATTTTGAGCTGAACATCATAGAGTCTAGGGCTTGTGATATAATGACAGATTAGAGAAGCAGAGTTAGGTAGCTATGATTTGGAAGTGGGCGGGTTCCTTCCTAGGTGTGTAAGACCTTGGACAGCATAGTTAGGGCCTTTCAACTATAAATATTTATATTTGAAGTTTGTTAACTAGAAATGATGACTACCGTAGATGATTTTATGATTCCAGGAAATCCCTGCAACATTGTTCCTTAGTAGTCAATAGTTATTTTATCTTGGATAATATGTGATTATCATAATGACATTAACATTTGTGTAGTAGCTAATAAAACCAACCAACAGGAACTGACAGTGTTTCTGATTTGCTTCATCAGATAAGATCTCAGCAAATTAATTAGAACGTGTACTGAACTCTTAATTACATATTCTGTAGCAATATAGGCCGTTTCTTAGCTATGTGGCAATAGTTTTCAGTTCTAATGCACCTGTTTGTTAATCTGGTGGTTTGGGACAAGTTTCCTGAATTCTCTAGTGCTTCGATTTGTCAGTAAAATGAGAATAAAAATGCCTATGTTACCAGGCATTATTGTCACTATGTTAACAGGCTTATTATGGGGATTAAATAAAATGATGAAATCATACAATCTAAATAATAATGTAATAAACCTATACTGCAATAATAATATTTTTCTTTACTATATTGTTTCATAGATTTGAGGTTTTGTCCACATAATGATTTATGTCATTTGTCAGCATATATAAGCTATTTTATGGAGGAAGTTGTTTATAAAATCACTGAAAGAATTATATAAAAGCACATTTTTGGCCACATTCCGAGATATTTTTAATAAGAATCTTAGTTAATTCACATGAAAGTGATCTACAGGCTACACTTTGAAAAACACTATTTTTTCTTTAAAAATGATCCCCAAATTACAGTAGTTGATTATCAAAGTCACATGGGAACGTTATAAAAAATATATATTCCTAGGGCTTCACCTTGGATGATTCTGATTTGACAGATCTGATGAAGCAAGGCTTTAGAACTCGTGTTTTCAAAAAGTTACCATGCTGATTTCGATACTTGAAAACCACTGCTTTACAGCCTCACTGTATATCTAACTTTTTATTGATAAAGCTTTTGGTTGTGTTTACAGTAAGTGGATGAGGAAAAATCACTGTGGGTATGTGCTCCGTATTAAGTTACAGGAGTGAAAAGGATGTTTCAATGTCTTCGTTTGCATGTATTAACCAGATTGGCAATCTTCTCACCTTTGATTGTGGTGCTGCTTTAAATAAATCTAAATGCCAAGCCTATAAATTGCAGAATTCCTGAAAAAGAAAGGGCTGTTAGAGGCCATGTCTTGCAAACCTGTTACTGCACAAAAAAGGAAAGAGAGGCTCAGAGATTTGTCCAAAACCACAGAGCAAGACATGAACTTGCACTTGGATTTCTACCCCTAGCTCAGTTCTACTTCCATTACAATTGACTGGCTCTGACTCCGCCAGTTCAAGAACCTGCAGCACCTGTGAAACCAGCATCTCTAATGCTGGCTGTAGGCTTCCTGGCAGGAGTAGAAAGTGCTCTATGAGTCAGCTTCTCTATTTAACTTTTCAGCAGTCTGAAAGTTAGACCTTCTTCCTTTCCAACTCCAGTTCTCTGCCATGAAGAAAAAGAGGCAAGAAAGCCACTGAGAGACAGAAGTTACTCAGCAGAAGAGGCAGATTGTTCCAGCAGTGGCATCATCTTCTTTTTTTTTCATTCTTTTTCTTAGCCAGAGATGTCCGTGCCTTTTCTCAAACTTTATAACTCTCAATGACAGAGCCCTTATCATTTTGTCTTTTTATTCTTGCATCATTTTTTATGGTGTCCCTTGTATCACTTTAGTTGCTCTTATTTGGACACTGTTTATCTCTGAGTGCCATTAAGTTCAACATATATTAAGTATTATTCTATCCCAAGAACAGTCTTGGGTACCAGAGATGTAAAATGAATGCTCCTAATTTCAGAAGAATTCACAGTATCATGGGGGAGGAAGACTAGTATGGCAAATGCTGCAGGAACACTCGAGAATGCCATAGGAGCCTTGAGACCCTCTTAGGGGAGTCAAAAGTGACTTTGGTAAGGAAGTGATATTGATCTGCTTTGGGTCATAGCCAAAGTCATAATCTTCAGTATAAATATATAACATTTTGAAACCACACAAAGAGAACGTTTCTAGGCTTAATGAAGAGAGCTGATGCAACTGATATATTTATAAGGCAGGTATCATCATGATGAGAGAAGGAGACACTACAATATATGGCAGGAGACCTAAATCTTCTCCTGAAGCTACCACTCTCAACCTATGTGATTGTCGGCAATTCAATCAGACTCTCTAGGCCTCATTCAACTACTCTTTCAATTCATTCAAATAATGGAATTCATGTAATAGACTATCCTATATACTGGGATATAGTCAGATGGAGGAAAAGTGCCTCCC